ATACCCCACAAGCTCAAAATTTACCACGAATCATAACAAGGGAGGAAATGATAAAAATGATGCAAGAACTAATTAAAAAACAACAAACCACGAAAACCGAGAAGATGAGGAATAAAAATTAAATTTGGATTGAGTTTAAAAATTCATCTTTATTAAATTCATCTCTTCCAATCAATTTATTTATTCTATTAAATTCTTTTATTTTTGCTTCACTCAGTTTAAGGATTGAACGGTAAGTTTCTAATTTTTCGATTATTTCTTTCCTCTCTTTCTCGTTTTCAGCCCCACCACATTGCGGCTTCTTTTTATAATAGCATATTTTTGATTTAATTTTGTTTAGTTTCTTTTTATATTCATCATCTAGACTCTTGGCTGCTTCGTTGTCACTCATTTCTTACAAAATAAAAAAATTAAATATTATTTAAATATAATGGAGTAATAAAATAAATCGGAATTTCTATTAATTTATTGTCAACTCAACTAATACATTACCGTTAATATATCTAACAAATTCAGCTATTGTGTCAAATCTTCGTCTTCTTTTTGTCATTGATTTATCAGTTTTTCCATAATCGAGATGAATCAAAACTTTATCCCCTTGTTTAAAATTCATGAGCCCCGAATTAATTTGTTCACGTTTAACATCATTTAACCTTTCCATTTGCTTTCTAATATATTCCCATTCTTTTGAAATATCATTTTTCATTTCCACTGGTTTCATGTTTATAGTTCTATGCCATGTATTATTGTAATAATATACTAACTGCTGTATGATGGAGTCATGATTTCCATCCCAGTATATCTGACCGTTAACCCCTAACGCATCTCTAAGAGTTCTCATTACCGCATCAACTATTTTATTATGAAACGTATATGGAGAGAATGAAAAGTAAAAATTAATTTGTGGGAAATAATGAGCCATAGCTGCCTGAAATCCTTTATCACCATCACCCCTTATATTATCTACTCTTTCATGATCTAGTAAGTATTGAATAGCTCTTCTTGTTTCCTGTTCTGTTTTCCCTTTCACCGGAATGCAATATAAATATCTAGTGTTAATGTTAATGGCAATAAATAAGTAACGTTTCCTTTTGAATATTCTAAATGATCGATTTCGTATGAATATGGATATGGTGCAAATGAAGGGCGACTAAATTTTTCCTTTAACGGTTGAATTTTTGGGTCAGTTGGTTTATTTAATATTTGAAATCCTTTTTAAAATCTTTTTGCTTCTTTAATGTTTGAAATGGATATAATAAAGTGAATGATGAAGGATTAACTGAAGGAGGAGGAGGTACTACTGTTGGAGGTTTTGGTGTTCAAGTGGTTTAATTTTATCTGCTTTGATTTTGGATTTCATTCCCCCCTTCATTAATTCTGGATGTATTCTATTCATTTGTTTTAAATATACTGTATATAAAGGTTTGATATACTTTCCCGCTTCGAGTTTATGTTGAAGGATGAATTCCAAAAGTTGATCTTCATTTAAAAGTTGGGCTGAATGTGGTTTAACTAATGAATCATAAATTAAAGCTTGTGCATCATTTATGGTCTAAAGGACTTGGGCGTTTTGCATCTTTAGCTGTTGAACATTTGGTTTTTGCGGCTCAGGATTATATAATTTATATAATTCATCAATATCTTCTTCTGTTAATACTTTATTTTTGAAATCGTTCAATTGTTTAAGTTGCGATTTAGTTTTTCCCTTTGTATATTCATTATTTTTAATTTTGTCTTTAATTTTAGAAATTATATAATCATGATATTTCAAAATTCCATTTTTATAATATGGATAATAATATTCCATATCATCACCCGTTATATTTTTATCATGTTTTTGGAGATATGCTTTTAAATCATAATAATCAAGAAAATTTTGATTAAATACTAAATCATCAATTAAAATTTTTAAATCTACATTATCCATTTATATAAAAATAAAATAAATGTTTTAGGGGTGCCCACCTCTTTGATCAAGAATCAAAACCATTATTAACGGTTCCTTTTGTCTCTTCTATGGCATTTCATTAAAAATAAAATTTTAAATTGTATTAAATAAACGGCATACAACATCCATTTTCACAACATACAGCCTTAGTGTGTGCTCCTGTTAATGCAGTCTTACCGATTGTTAAGCGAGTCATTGACCTTTTTTAAGTTGTAAATTAATATTCTGACCATCAAATATCACTTTATCATTTATTATATCCAAATAATTTTTAGGTGTTAATTGTTTATTTTGTCGTAAACTAACACCTTTCATTTTTTGTGCAATCTTTTTAAAATCACCTCCATCAATTGAACCGTTGAATGATGTATAACACTTAGGGCATAAAGCAACCATGTTATCACCTTGTTTCTCAATTGCTAAACCCAATAACTTCTTCTCATGTGCTTTTTCTTCAGCTTTATTCTTTAATTTAGGTTTCAATTTCTCATCAAAACAGAAGAAATCAAAAGGTGCGAATTTGAAAATGTTTTTATCATAAAATTGTTTATCGGTAACAATTGCTTGAAATGCTTGAGTGTTAGGAAGATTTGGGTCGCCAGCGATTGCCCAATAAGATGAATCAGTATCACCTTCAATGAAATGAAACCGATTAACATTCATGCATTTATACATAAAATCATAAATGAAAACCAAATACCAGTATTTAGCATTATCTAAAGTGAAGAATGCCTCTTGTAAACATGTTCACATCTATAAAATCTATCTTTGAGCATCACTTGATACGTATCCTCTCCTATTTCTCTTATGTTTTTAAACTTATTTGGCATACATGCAACGCGTGCCTTCTGTGCATTCATTATTTTAGTCTTTGTGTAATTTTGTGTATTCATTGCATCGTAACCATATGATCCATTAAGTGAAATCTTGCAAAATAAACTTTTTCCTTTATTTCCTTCTAATTCAGCCTTTTGTCTTTCGTTCATAAATTCGTTCGCAAATTCATTAAAGCAAGTGTTTTTAGTAAATGTTAAAATTGATTGAATGTCATCGATGATAAAATTAAACCTGTCTATTAGATACCAAAGATAATAAGAAGAAAATGGTTGATATTGGTTATGTGTTGATGCTAACTGAGTTAATTTTCTCTGTTTCTGGTCAACCGGTAGATTGTTTGATTTCATGTAATTATACATAAAACTGCCAATTGTTTTTTCATCTGTGATAATATCTAAGTTTCTTATTATCGGTAAAAAGTTTATGTAATCATTAATGTATTTTTCATCAATGTGACCCTTTACTTCAGCCACGAATAAAGTATTTTTATTTCTAATTATTCCCAATGCTTTTGCTTTCTTTGTTGCTGTATCACAAATGATAACACCATTCAATCTTCCCGGCATATACATTTTATGGTTAGTATATTGAATGAAATCATGAGGATTAGATGAAAATGATGAAGGATATAATGAATTAAAATCAACACCAACGAAATGAGTCATAATGTTGGTGGTGTCCTCATTTGATACAGTTTTAGTTTCTGGATTATATGAAAGTTTATTAATGTGCGTGATTCCTTTAAGATTTACTCTATGTTGAACATTTGATAAACCACCAGTAATTCCATTACGGAGAATGTGATAAGCTTCAACTGAATCTAAAGTCATTGGTAAATTATTTTTTAATGCATAATTTCTTAAATTGATTCTTAAACGTTGAACATCTTCATCTTTATTTGATTTTACGACATTGCAATAACAACACATTAACTGACAATTTTCTTTGGTATGTGGTTTTTCATTATCGATTCTATCCAATGTTGGTTTATTTGCATATGTAAACGCTTTACCACACATTTTGCATTTAGATGAAAGGATTAAATCGTGATAGTATTGAAAATCATCCATTGAAACATTATTTTAATATCTCTTTCTGCTTTTTCATCTTGTTTCTTATATGATTCAATTTTATATTTCCAATACTTTTTCGTTAATTCAAAACTTGATTCTATCTCTTCCTCGGGATATTTTTCATTAGGATTAAAGTCTTTATATGCTAAAGCGTAACGAATCATTGAAGCATTCGATGATAAAGAAAGATTATGAAGCATATCAATTTTATAAACAAATGTTTCTTCAATAATTTTATCAATTGGGTCAATCATAATTTCAACATCTTTATTGCAATAATGAATAAAATATTCTAATCTATTCTTAAATTTTAGCATCATTGAGATATATTTGATAATCACTATCTGATATAGTTTCTTGAGTTAATGCTGAATAAAATGAATCTCGAGTGAATGGTTCCACTTTATATAATTCTTCTTCGTAATTTTCCCATGTGATGAATTGATAAGGGAAAAAGGATTTAACACGTAATTTATTGTTTCCGAAATCTTGAGTGAATTGGTCTAATGTCCCACCCGCTATATAATTTCTGATGTCAATAAATCTCAATTCATATGGAACGTTTGTTTTCTTTACAATGATTTGCTTAAATTGTGAAGATGAACCCAGCATTGATTTTATTTTCCATTTTGCAGTGTTTAAATCATGAAGAATTAAATTTAAATCAAACTTTCCCGAATTAAAACCTATGATATTCACTTTATTGAATTTCATCTAGAAGTTCTTTAAATGCTTCCTTCTGTTTTTCATTTAATGTATGAGACAAAGTCCCACCGTTTGTGGCTTCAATAATTCTTCATATTGTTCAATATTTGATTTAGCAACTAATGAACAGGTTGAAAATAAAAACTCAATCCAATCAGAAATAAAAGAATCACTCGAAGTTAAGCAAAATTCCTCGTATATGTTTTATCATTTAATTTAACCGTTGATGATACCATGAATGGTTTTAAGTAAGCGTTCAAAGTTGCACACTCAGAAAGTTGTAATTCTTCTTTAGTCTCTAATGTTTCAAAGTCAAAAGTAATATAATATCTTGTCGGTTGATAATATTCCTGTAAATTATGAGCTAATAACCACTGATATATCTTTTGTTTCGTAATATGTGGTGCATATGGTTGCTGTGTCTTTTGCAACTGAACGTCTTGAATTAATCTCCCATTATTTTCTTTACATTTCTCACAATGCTTTAAAAATCTTCTTTGGTTTTTCCTTTCTGGATCATCGCGGATAGAATAAACTTCTTCTTTACAATATGGACAAACTTTATAGCCGGTGAGTGCTTCTACGTCTGTTATTCTGTCAGCGTGAAGTTTTCCACATGGACTCTGTGTTAATAAAATATTTACTGTTTCAAATTCTGGATCTATCATTATTGATTCCACTAATGGAAAGTCTACCTTATTTATGTCCACGTCTTCTGGTTGAGGATCACAATAATAGAAATCAATATTAACATTTAACATTCTCGCTAATCTCTCACTTTCTGATGAAATGTCAAACCCTTCATATGCATCTATTGCTTCATTTAAATAGCTTCTACGAGTTTTAGGATTAACACCATCAGGAATGTTATAGAAGCGTTTAAATAACCTTCTACCTTCTGCTCTAATTTGATTATCATTCATTTTAGCTGTTCCGTTTTTGTTCATTTATGTAAGAAAAAAATATCATTAAATAAATAAAAATAAAGTTTATTTTTTAAAGTCCATAAAATGAATTAAGAACACATAAATTTTTATCATCTGCGACGTGACGAATACATTTTAATTTACTCAAGAATGTGTACCCTGATACATTAAATCTAATTCCTGTCTTATTTAATTTCACAACTTTGAAAAGGAATGTATGAATAGCTATAAAATGATGAGAAGATGTTTTATGGATTGCTTCCATTTTTTCTGAAATAAATGAATAAATATAATGTTTATACGTTTTCATATCTTTTATATTCTTAATAACGAATGGTATAGACCTTTCCACTTCATCTTCCTTCGGTGCTGTTCTTTCATATGAAACATTATTGGTATCTTCAATAATGAAACCACAATCACACAAAATTTTATAGGTTCCAATGGTTTCTTTTGATATTTTATCTAATAAATCAAAAACTTTATCAACACCTGTACATTTATTTAAATAATAATTTGTGTAAATATCATGATCTTCTTTCTTAATCGTATTAGTTGCATATGTCACGTTTTTAGTGCTTTTTTGAATTTTTTGGAATCTAAAGGTGGTGAAAGTAGGATACAAGGGTATTCTTCATTATCAATAAATTGTAACTTATGTTTACGAATAAATTTACTACCTTCTTCTGAAAGTGTTTCATCTATTTCACCATCTAATAAATTTTGTGTTGATTCTGAGACATAATTTTTATATCTTTCTTCATGAGATTTCTGAACTTCTGATTCTGAAGCTGGGATATTCATTAAACCCTCTACTTCATTTTCATTATATTTTTCAACTTCTCTTAATTCCTTAATTTTTTCATCTATTTCATCTCTTATTTTTTCCAGTCTTTCAATTTCATCATATTCATTATCTTTAATTCGTTCTTCATAATATTCAGGGAAAACATCAGGTTCTTTAGGTTTTTCTTTTTTAGAAGTGGGATATAAGAAATTTATAACATCATTTTTATTCATTTTTCCATCATAATCAAACTCATTTAAAAACTCCGCGAATTTTTTACAATTTCTTAAATAATATTTATCAACCTCATAACCCGCCTCCTCTAATATATCCTTTATTTCCTCATTTGTGAATCCCAATTTTTTAACGTTGTTAGTTTTGACGCTCATTTCATTAAAAATAAAAATTCTTTATCATTATATTTATACCTCATTAGCTTATTTTGGCTTTCATATTCATTTAATAATTCACAATCTTTATTTTTAAATTGAAGTTTAATCCATTCAGGATTTAAACAATGTTTAATTAATCGCGGAATATCTGACATCATCTATATATATATAGCTTCTTTTATTTTTCATTACATTATGTATGGGCTGAGTGTAAATGTCTTACAATTTTGAATATTTTTAAATCTTGATTTATTTGTAAACGTAAGAATAAAAACCGTAAGAATCATACATTTTTTACTTCATATGTTAAAAAAAATGATACAAAATCGTTCAATATTGTATGAATTCTTACGTTTTCAAAAAAAGTCACACAACCCGTTATATATACTACTCAACTCTTCACCAAACATTTTCCTCCAATCATGATATATGGCTCCAAAATCATTCAAATTGTTGTATTCATTAGTTAGTATCCATAATTTCGGTACCAAGGGTCTACGCCCCTCGGAACCAAAATTACTAGAATTTACAAAAACCGTTTGACACGTAAAATACATTTGACATTTACAAAAAATAAAAAAATTTTAAAAAATAAACTTAAAAATTAACGTTAAAATTTTTGACACTTTACAAAATAAAAAAATAATTTTTTTAAAAATAAACTTAAAAATTAACGTTAAAATTTTTGACACTTCACAAAATAAAAAAAATAATTTTTTAAAAATAAACTTTAAAAAATTAACGTTAAAATTTTTTATTTATTTTTTTTATCATAGATTTTAACACCCAGAGTTAAAAAAATAATCTTTTTAAAATAAATTAACTCAAAAATTTTTTAATTTCTGTGCAATATCTGGATTGAACTTTTTTAATACTAATGATAATTTCTTTATCATATATGATATTAAATTTTTTTCAATTTCTCGATTATAACAATCTTCAAAAATGTCACCTAAAACTAATTCCAAAAATATAATCCCCAGTGACCATATCAAGCTTGTTGAATTCAATTTGCAAATATGTAAAAAGATTTCTGGTCCAATATATCTAATGTCAAGATCATTACCTTCATGATTTTGGATTATAATTGATCCTTTCATTCTATTCTGAACTGCATCATCTTCTTTCAAAATTATAATATTATATGGAGTAATGAATTTGGTGGCAGATTTTTGTTTCCAAAATTCATACAATACACCAAACATTATTGATTTTAATGAGATTTCATTTAAAAGAACTGTTTGTGTATTGATTATCGAACTTAATCTAAATGCCTTGTTTTCATTGATTAATTGATCAACAACTTCTTTCGAGAAAAAATTCGGATTTGGAATGATTTCACTATTTTCATCATCTGAGATAAAATTTTCGTTTGAATTTATTGCATCTGAACCATTGTCATCATTTGGAATGTTTTCTTCATCTGAAAGAAAATTCTGATTTGGATTTCCTGCATCTGATCCATATTCATCATTTGGAATGTTTTCTTCATCTGAAAGAAAATTCTGATTTGAATTTCCTGCATCTGATCCATATTCATCATTTGGAATGTTTTCTTCATCTGAAAGAAAATTCTGATTTGAATTTCCTGCATCTGATCCATATTCATCATTTGGAATGTTTTCTTCATCTGAAAGAAAATTCTGATTTGAATTTCCTGCATCTGATCCATATTCATCATTTGGAATGTTTTCTTCATCTGAAAGAAAATTCTGATTTGAATTTCCTGCATCTGATCCATATTCATCATTTGGAATGTTTTCTTCATCTGAAAGAAAATTCTGATTTGAATTTCCTGCATCTGATCCATATTCATCATTTGGAATGTTTTCTTCATCTGAAAGAAAATTCTGATTTGAATTTCCTGCATCTGATCCATATTCATCATTTGGAATGTTTTCTTCATCTGAAAGAAAATTCTGATTTGAATTTCCTGCATCTGATCCATATTCATCATTTGGAATGTTTTCTTCATCTGAAAGAAAATTCTGATTTGAATTTCCTGCATCTGATCCATATTCATCATTTGGAATGTTTTCTTCATCTGAAAGAAAATTCTGATTTGAATTTCCTGCATCTGATCCATATTCATCATTTGGAATGTTTTCTTCATCTGAAAGAAAATTCTGATTTGAATTTCCTGCATCTGATCCATATTCATCATTTGGAATGTTTTCTTCATCTGAAAGAAAATTCTGATTTGAATTTCCTGCATCTGATCCATATTCATCATTTGGAATGTTTTCTTCATCTGAAAGAAAATTCTGATTTGAATTTCCTGCATCTGATCCATATTCATCATTTGGAATGTTTTCTTCATCTGAAAGAAAATTCTGATTTGAATTTCCTGCATCTGATCCATATTCATCATTTGGAATGTTTTCTTCATCTGAAAGAAAATTCTGATTTGAAAGATTTTCCATCATTTCTTTTGTATGTTGCTCAATTTTTTTGATTAATTCAATTATTTCTGGATCTGCTATCGGAATTATTGAATCTATATCATCAATTTCTGAGTCTTCTCTTTTTTCAGGTAATAATATGCAAAGATTTTTCGGATCTCTAATACGACTTAGTGCAACGTACAGCATTCCATGCTCAAAGAATTTATCGCGAAAGTCAATCACAACACGGTCCAGAGTTAATCCCTGACTTTTGTGTATTGTGCCAGCAACTACTGTTTTCAGAGGGATTTGCTTTCTTTCAATTATTAAGTTTGACAGATCTTTTGGAATTTTGATTTTTGGAATGATGGCCTTTTCTCCATTTTCGAACTCCACAATTGCAGCTTCTCCTGCTCTTCCAATGATCCAGCATCGTTTGTTTTTCACCAAACCGTCATGCGTGTTTAAATTTCTAAGCAAACTCATTGGCATACCATAAAGTAATTTAACAACTGGATTTGGAAGATCAGCAAACTTCCAATTCCTTACCATATCAGCTAATTGTCCTTTATCAATTCTTATCTCGCTTTTTTTCTTATTATCTTCTGTCTGTATATTCGTTATGGCGTATATTTTTCCAAAATCTAATGACTTTTTTGCTTCTTCCGGATTTGCTTGGTTTTGACAATAATCATAAATAGAATTTAACTTCATAATTTCAACTTCTTCGTTGACTTTATTAACTAAATTGTTAGTTGCAGCAATCCATTGAATTTTCAGTGGAATTTTATTTCTCATATCAACTCCGTGTAATAAGAAATCTAATGCCGTCTTTGGGTCATCTGTCACAGTTATATCCTTCAAATCACTCCATTTCATATCACCTACTTCATTATTTGCAACTTTAATTAAGAAGTTATTATATTCTTTGTTGGAACAACGCATTGGCATTGATAATCCATACATCTTCACCATATTCCACCATGAACATTTTGTAATCAATTTTTCACTCAATGAATACTTGCTATTTGGGATAACAGGGGGTAATTGCAAAAAGTCACCAATAAAAATCATTTTCTTCCCTCCGAATGCAGGTTCTTTTTTCAATTCATCTCCCTTGCAATCTTTCCTTGACATTAAGAATCTTAAAATGAAATATATTTTCTCTGCAATAGTATGCGTTAACATGGAAACTTCATCTATCATTATAACATCTGCCTTTTTTATTAAGTAACCTTTGTAACTGTCTTTTCCAATTAATGAACTATAATCATCAAAATTTTCTTCAATATCACATTTCAATCCAAATAATGAGTGTGCTGTGCAACCATTTTCATATTGACACGCTGCTATTCCAGTTGTACCACATATTAATACATCTTTCTTTTGGTTTTCCAATTCTTTGATTAATTCCTTGCAAAAGTAAGTTTTCCCAGTTCCGGCGCGACCTTGAATAAAAATTAATTGATCTCTATCCCAATTTTTCAAAATATCCTTCATTACAAAAGCTTGTTGTTCATTTAAATCTGATAAATCTTTCTGATTTTTTTCTTTATTTTGTTCCAATTTGTATAAATGATCGTAATTCACTAAAAATTGTGGAATACACTTTGCCTTTGCATACTTGAACTCCGAATATAAATGCATATATAAATTGTCGATTGTCTTTTCTTCTAAATCTTTCATTAATTCATTTTGGAATTTTAATGTCAATTTTTCTATATTGATGCCTTGAATTGAAAAATTTACCAACATTTGACGTAAAATATATCCAAAGTATCCATTTTTTATTCCCTCTTTCAAACAAATTTTTGCTTCTTTTCCTGATTCAATTAATCTCAATGATTCTGCTGCTTTTAAAAAAGATTCTTTTCCCATTATCAAATCATTATAGGAATAGCCTGGCACTTTTTCTAAAATTAACCTTAAACAAAATAATTCTGTGTTCTGGTATGGTACTAATTGTAAGGCGAATACACATTCTTTTGTCCTTCTATACACCCATCTTTTTGTTTTATCATCTGTTCCATTACCTTCATCTTGAATTGCTTCAATTTTTGCTGGTTTATTTGGAGATACTATATATCTTTCATAGTATTCCACAAATGCCAAATTTCTGAATTCTTCTGTTTTTGGCCTGCTAAAATATCTTAATAAATAGCTCAAAGTATCATCAATTCTTTTCAACAAATCTTCTTCACTTTCATCAGCCTTTTCAACTATCTTTCTATCTCCTTCTAAATGAAAATTTAGTAATTCTACTTTTGGAAACATACCATAGTTATGATATCCTGCTAATGTTCCGAAAGCCTGGCAAGAACTTGTTATAATTGATGCACCATATTTGTGTAATTGGTCTTTTTCTTCAACTTCTTTTTGTATAAATCTTAACTGAGATTGTAATGATACTTCAGCTGAATCACTAAATTTTGTTACATATTTAGTAATATATAGAATGCAATCATTTGAAGTAACTATTTCAATCTCATGATGAGCTCTCCATAATGTAAGAATCTTTAAATTATGAGGTACTATTTTAACTTCTTCTGCCGACCTTTTATAATGAACTCTTCCATTAATAATTTCTGTTTGATCTCTTACTTCCTTAGGAAAACCCATAGTGCATTTTCCCGTTGTTTTATCTTTACATCTATTTGTGCAACCATGAATCTCATATTTGTTGATAAGAATCTTCAAATCATTAAATTTATCTAATTGCCTGATATCATTAGTTTTCGGATACTGTGTATTTATAACATCATCCAACTGATTGACATTCTGTGTATCTAGTGTGGTCCACAATAAGATATGCGTGTGCGGATAGCCTCTCTGCTGAAATTCGTCACGCCATAGTAAAGCATTAACATCACCGAAAATTTTTGAATCTTTCAAGAATTTGATAAAAGTTTTTCTCCTTTCATTATATATAAGCATAATGTTTGCTGCATTTGTATTTGCTGAACAGCGATCTAATGCTATGTTTTCGATCCATCCTGGATTACATGTTATTGTTATAAAAAGTGTGGGCTGACCATATTTTGTGGACAGTAAGATGACTTTCTTTCCTATCTTTTTCCAATATGCTGGCCCATTTGTAAAGCTTGACGGAATATATGTTGTTGTTCCTTCATTTTCTTCGGGGTTGTCACTTTTCTTCTTCACTTCACTTTCTCTTCTTAAATTTATTTGCCGATAAAAAGCGTTTTCAATTCTGTGATGTAAATCTCTCCCGAAAATACTGCATATATACTCTTCTCTTAAATATCCCAATTTATGTATCCAATGAGAATTTGGCTGCATTAGCAATGAACACGCTGTTCTCCTCATATGTTTATATGACCATTCTTCATTGTTATTTAATCGTCCACAACCTCCGTGACCGTTCCAAAAAATTAGTGGGAACGCCAATTGATCGTATAAAGCTGACAAATACGGAACTATTTGTGGATGATAAAAAATTTCTCCATTTTCATTTTTTTCTATTTTGTCAGCATATTCTTTTGAATTTCTTTGTAAATTAGATGTTTCTCCGATTATTGCTATATTAATTCCTTCATCACTTTTTCCTTCCATGAATGCATTCATTTTTGAGTAGGTGACAAAAGTGCATACTCTTAAACAACCGTCGGATTTCCGGGTGAAATCGTGACACACTTTCGTCTTTCGTAGGCAGTGGTGGTTGTTACAAAAGGTAACTTCGAATGTAGCGTGAAATCTGCAAAAAAATTCTGAAATTTGAATGGAGAACACAAAAATTGAATAGTTTACGTCAATAAAAAGGAGAAAAATGAAGCCAATGTGTCTCGAACCTAGGACTTAGAGCAGCAATCCCACTGTTTATCACATTACACTACATGCATCTCTCACCTCAGTGAATGAGATCAACTATATGATAACTTTTTCCCCATTATATTCTTGTGGAAAAGTGACAAATAGCAACTTTGACCCTCTCTCATTCATTTTTTCAATATTATCATTTATGCTCATTTGTTGATTCATGTATTCTGTTATTCTTTTATTTTGACTTAAAAGTCTTTCTATATAATCTTTGATTTCTTCATTGTATTTTTTTGCTAAATTATAATTTTTCAGTTCATCTTTATCCTTATTAGAAAAAATGACATATGCCATTTCCAAAAATTGCCGTTTTTCATCAATTGCATATGGTGTACCGTTCATTATTAAAACAGAATGATCCTTATTTGGTTGTGATATATTTGCGTTATGGATTATTGGTCGGCAATCTCGATTTAATTTTCTTCCAAAATTTTTATCTTCTTTAATTTTATTAAAAATTAAATCCATAAATGATTGGTCAGGTGGGTTTACAAATTCATTTGAAGGAATATCCTCTTGTAAATTTGTTATTTCTTCTTCTTCAATATTATTATTAATCTCATCATCTTCTTCAAAATCTGAATACATCTCATCATATTCATCATTTATTTCATTTGACGAATTTTCATTGTTCTGATCTGAAAAATCAGTATTACCTATTAGGTGTGATTTAATATTCTTTATTCCAATACATGGGCATCTTTCTCCCATAAGGAGAGCGCTTCCACAATTTTTGCAGCATTTGGAACTATCTAATTGTCCAGGACATATTTTACGAAGTAAGTTATCTAAAGATTCATTATTTTCTTTGTTTTGAATGACTCCTGCATCTTTTTTTATTATTCAAAAAACCTGAGTTGATTTGAGACATACTATAAAATATATAAACTGTGATAACGTAAATAAGTCTTGATTAAAAACAATGTGAAATTATGAAGTTCTCTTTTTTTATTATTCAAAAAACCTGAGTTGATTTGAGACATACTATAAAATATATAAACTGTGATAACGTAAATAAGTCTTGATTAAAAACAATGTGAAATTATGAAGTTCTCTTTTTTTATTATTCAAAAAACCTGAGTTATGTCATCAGTTGTTCAGAATCATTCATTATGTCATGAAATCACTCAACGTGATTTTGAATTCAAGATAATCGTTATGTGTTCAAATAATGGTATGCATAGCGAATATATAATAGTAAACAAATCCACGATTTTTTGCAAAATTTTTGCACACTTCACAATGTCCTATTCAATTGAGAAGCATTGAATTATTATTTTGCATTATTACATTGGATATTGTCTATATAATCATTTATCATTTGAATTATCTCTGAATTTTATTTTTAAACGTGCACTATCTAAATTTAAACGGCCACTTTTTTATTTATCAATATGATTGATATCATTCATATCTAAAATTGATTTAATATTGAAATTTCATATGATTTTGAAATTTTCTCAATTTTTCTAATGCTAATGGCCCCATTTCTAAAGATCATCTAGATCTTTCATTTCTGCAAAGTTTTATCAGTATATCCATCACGGTTGCCCTAAGATGATTTTCCTGATTGTTTGATATCTCCGTATAAAATTTCAAAAATTTATCATTTATTTTACAATATACTCATTTAACTTTTCTTACCATGACCTCCAAGGTCTAAGCACATTACAATTTCTGTTGTTTTTACGTTTTTCTTATAATATATTTTATTTTGATAATTAAATGCTAAAGGCATGCATACTATATTTTAAACATGCATTTTACTAAACTCTGATAATATTAAACAAATCTAAATACCAGATCGTTATATTTTGAAATTATATTTATATTATTTTTTCATCGACCTTATAAAAAATGTTTTTTTTTCTCAAAAGATTTTTAAGGGTTCTGACCGACCAACTATATCCTCTCAATTTTCTTCCACTTCGAGACACTGTATATGCCTTCATGATTGATATTATTCCATGTACCCCACACACCATGATAGTGTTACTTCATAATATTCAATACATATATGATAGGTGAATCTCAAATCCACTATATGAATTTGAAAAAAGCAATTTATGGTATCAATTTTTGATTTTCTCATTTTAAAAATATGTGGTAAAAATGACAAAATTTTCAAAGTTACGGATTTGGCAGCACTTATATGTACAGAAAATATCCATCGCCAAGCGGGGCTTCGAGACCACCCCAATCCATAATCATTGAATACAATTTCGTCAAAAATACAAATTCTAGCTAATTTAGATATATAGTATCTATAGAAATGTAAGAGTATGCATAAATGTATAACATTTTATCGATTTTTTTACTAATTTTGCTCAAACTTTTTCAATAACAAATAAATGATGCTGTCCATGCATATTTAGTCTCATCTATTGCCACACATTCTATTTCCTAGTCATTGCAGATGAAATTTTATTTGTTACTTTAATATTTAAGAAAAAATTCTATTTAATCTCGTTGACACTTGAATATAGTAATATAAAGCAGCATGCGACTTGCTGATAATGGTCATATATTATGTTCATTTGGTCTGGAATTGAAAATTCCTAATATATATAAACTTAGTTTGTGAAATATAACAAAGAAACATAATTATCTTATACAATAAGTCACATACATTATCTGTGATAATATATAGAAAGATATATAATTAATCTAAAGATATACATTTCATATCGCAATATGAGGATTATCGAGTTACATAATTTGACGAATTGTATTTTTATGGAAAATTTGACTAACAGATACTGTTACTTTATTGGTTAAAGTAATTTTATTAGAATAATTAATCATCCTTACTAGCAAATCTTCAAGCAGATAAAATTGTATTTGATATATGCATATCCTATCTCCTGGCAGATAAATGGTGCAAATATATATAATAAAAATTTACTTTTTGCGAAGTATTTTAATTATTCATGATTTGTTAATCGTATTTTCAAATTTAATTTGGAAACATCATTACTCACATAAAATCATAATAATATCCAGTTGACTCAAGAATAGAACATGATCTCTTTGCAAAATATACGCTATATTAACCTAATATATGCAATCAAACCAATTTTTCTTCACCATTATTGCTATTTTTGCAGTGCAAATATAATACTTAGTGATCGCTGGTCAATTTTGCGAATTAGTTATATTAAATTCAAAAATTAAGGGTTATGAAAAAATGAATATTGAAATGGTAATCTGTGTTAAATTTTGGACATAATTGTTATAAAATTTTAAAATAATACCAATTTCGGCCTCCCTCTCAATTTTTTCTATCAACCTCGCTCTGACACGTAAAGTTTACGTGTCAGAAATCTCTTTACTGTATTTGGTGATAAAATATGCATAGGTATTGATCACAGAATATGTGTACAAAATTATAAAAAATCCATCGAATATTCATAAATTTTTTCACTCATTTGGCATATTGAAAAAAATCCGAAAAAAATCGAAAAAATCGAAAAAGCAAGGCGAAAAAATGATCATCGATAAAGACCTCACTTTGGGGTATTTTTAAATACTATATCTTATAGGTTGGAAAGATGTACCGGGCGTTTAGGCTGATGCCTAGTATTCGCCAAGATATGAGACACCAAAGTTGAAAATTTTGAGAGGAGATAGGTGGTCGGTCAGAACCCCTAAGGGTGCACACGAGAGGATCATGTAAACTTCAGAATTTAGAACCTTATTTTTAGGCATTATCTTGGCTACCTATTTAGTAATCAATACGATACATCAGATTAAGTTCTATATAGTTGTTCGGCTGAACATTTTCATATGCATATACTTATTTTGGAAATAAAATTATTAATATAATGTACATTTGGAACATATTTACATCATTAATTCTATATCTTGGATATTTTTATTATAATCTTTTGAACTTCTTTACATTTTAAATGTAATAAGACAAAATTAGAATTAACATTAAAAGATTAAACATTTCCTCGGTCAAACTTAACAACAAATTTAATAAAAATAAGTTTGAAAATGAAAGAAAATAAAATTATAAAAATTTTAATTCATATAAGGAGAATATTAAGGGTGCACACGAGAGGATCATGTAAACTTCAGAATTTAGAACCTTATTTTTAGGCATTATTGGCTACCTATTTAGGCTCGAAAAGCAAAAAATATCAAAAATACAACTTGAGTCCATTATGACCCTTTCATGGAGGTAGTTTTTCTCCGCTAGTATTTTCCCTTTGAATCTCTTTACAATTCGAAATCAAATTCAAAACTCAGTAGAAGAAAGGAAGAATCGACTTACTACGGTTGTAATACGAATAAATACATATATATTAATTATTTTTATTTACATAATAATTGTTTTGAAGCTCATATTCCATCAAATTTTTAAATAAAAACATTAAAATGTTGAAAATGTTCATATATTTTAATAGGGTTTTGGCACTTTATTGAGAAATTACTACATACATAGTCGAACTGAACTTGATATTTTGAAAATTTAAATTATTTATCAAAATTAAATTTAACTTGAAATTTATAATTATTTAGTCATATTTTGCATAATTCTAAGTAGATTTTGTAAAAAATCAAGAAAGAAAAATTTTAACGTGCTTTATTTTTTCTTTTTTATAATAATACATATTATTATATAATTAACATATTCATAATGTTTCACCCTTTCAAAAATATATTCCTCCTCCTCTCAAATAAACGTACATACGGGTGGCCTCTTTTTTCAAAAAATTAAAATTTGAAATTTTGGGCTCAAATATTAGAGATTTTTTCAACCTTCAACGATATATGTTGTCTATATCAGACCTCCTTTCTTTTTGATACTTAACATTGTTCCTAAATCTTAGCCGTTAAGGCTGTTCTGAAAATATTTTTTTTTTCGAAAAAATTCGAAAAAAATTCTTAAAATTCAAAAATCCCTTAATTCCTGAGGATTTTGGAAAAAAGTTTTTACATGAACATGTGTATATTATATGAAGTATATTGATAAGGTAAAAATCAAATTTTATTGCATATTCATCGAGAAAATAAACTAACGAATCCCTCAAAATTGAGAGGGTAATCCTCCTCCTCTCAAATAAACGTACATACGGGTGCACCCTTAATATAACTAATAACTATAACTCCAAACATTCTAAACTTGAAAAATGTATACTTTCGTATGACTAAGATTATTGATCTGTTTCATTTGGGAATATTTCATTTTTTTTGGATCTGCTCTTTCTTTACTAATATTGATTGTTCCTCAATATTTTAGTGTTTAAAGTCTTTATAAGCTGATTTCATACTGTAAAACACTTAGTTAAAATAGATTATCCGCAATCCATGTTCTGAAACATGATTTTTCACGCACTAAAGCTATAATCAACACACATTTTGTCAATAGACCAAAGCAAATCAAAATTTCCAAACAAATGTGATTTACGAGCTATTTTTTCTCGAGAAGTGTCAAAACCGTCAAAAATATTGGGAAGGAGAATGAGCGAAGGAGATTTTAATCCAGATGTCGTACTCGAGAAAATTCTTGCACGCCCTCCTGTTCCAATTACGCAAGAAGAAGTATTTGCTGCATGTGATAAAGTTACAGAGTTACTTGTTAGAGAAGGCAACATTCTTCACCTTCACAGTCCAATAATTACAGTAGGTGATATTCATGGTCAATTGTATGACTTTTTAGAAATTTTCAAAATGGAAGCACCACCTCCATTTTCGAAATATCTATTTTTAGGTGATTATGTTGATCGTGGCTATTATAGTCTTGAAGTATTAATGTATTTAGTATGCCTTAAAATCAAATATCCAACACAAGTTTATTTACTTCGAGGAAACCACGAATGCAGTTCTATTACTTTTACCTACGGCTTTTACCAAGAATGCCTTGAAAAATTTGGAAATTCAACAGTATGCCAGCGCTGCTGCAATATGTTTAATTTCTTGCCAATTGCAGCATTAATAGGAACAAATATTTTCTGCTGCCATGGCGGTTTATCACCTGCAATTCAAATGATTGATCAAATTAACTCAATACATAGATTCTGTGAGCCGATTATGACAGGTCCTTTATCAGATTTGCTTTGGTCCGATCCAGACAAATTTGTTTCAGGTTTCCAAACTTCTCCTCGTGGAGATGGTTATAGGTTTGGTCCTGATGTCACAGCTCGATTCCACCACCTCAATAAAACTCAGACGATGATTAGAGCTCATCAACTCGTTAAACAAGGATACGATCTTCAATTTGATAACCAAGTATTGACAGTTTGGTCAGCTCCCAATTACTGCTATAAACCAACAAATTACGCGTCTATTTGTACTGTATCCCATAAAGGTTCACAAACATCCCTTGATTTTAATGTTTATGCGGCCGTCCCAGATTCTGAAAGAGTTATTCCACCTAGTAAGCAAGTTATGTCACAATACTTTGTTTAAAATGTTGTAAAAAATTATATTATAACTATTTTTATGTTATTTTCTAGCAAACACGAAAGGTTCAAAAGGAAAATCTAATCAAATAACAAACATTTTTTTTATTCCAAAATTAATCATAATTTTACACTAAATGATTAATGTAATTAACTAACATGAGTTTTTAAGAAATATTCTATAACAGAATTTTAAGAATGACGCAATCATATTTATTTTTGAAACAAAAATTGAAAATCAAAAAGAAAGAAACAGTATTTATTAATTTGGTAGCTTTTCAATGATTTTATCCTCAGTGTTATTGAGTAATTTAGTTGTTAAATTAATATCTCCAAATAATACTTTCAAATTAAGTAAAATGACCAAATTTTGTTTAAGTTCTTCTGTTATTTCCTTTCTTTCTTTTGCAAGTTCTTTGTTTTGTTCAATTAATTGTTGAAATTTTTCTTTTGTTTCTTGTAAATTTGCGTCTGTTATTCCTTGGGCTTTCAGATTTCTGACTTCGTCTATTATGTCCACAGTCTCTTCGTTTAGTCTCTGAGCTTCATGTTCTGCATGAAATTGAGGATCACTTGAGCTCATTTAAATTTTAGGAATTTTTTATCCATAAATTTGACAGCATTTCTTAAATTTGTCACGTAAACAGAAAAAACGTATAATTTTGTAAATAAAAATCAATAGAAATTAATCATCATGTATAAACAAAAGAAATCATTATTTTCAGCTCAAATCGAATATTTGAGAAATTTAATTAAAAATTTTTGCCACAAATGAAAACATCCCCTACAACAAATAATAGAAGTGAACCTAAAAGGGATGATAGTGAAACAGAGTCAACAGCGCAAGCAATTTTCGATAAGATTATGTTTACTTTAAAAACTGAGGCTTTTCCAACTGCAATTGAAAAAGTTCTCGCAGAAAAATTTCCTAATCATACAATTATAGTCTGGATGTATTTTAATAAACAAGACAAGTTTTATTCTTTAGCAAAAGATATATTAATTCCTGCAGATACTGGACTTTTATCCTTTTTCCAAAAATTTCCTCAACCTTTATCAATTAACAAGCGTGATGAGCATCCTTACTTTAATGCAGAATCAGATAATAATATTGTACCACCAGATTCACATACTTTTATAATACCGATATTAAAACGTACAGGACATCCAGTTGGAATGATCGAAATATCCAAACCCGCAAAAGAAAAGACATTTTCACGGACAGATTTACTTTTTGGCCAATTAATTATGAAAAAGATGTCAATCTACTCAAACTTCCTATTTCCATCAGAAAGTGCTATTTCACTTGTTTTGAGTGCATCTTTTAATGACCAATTTCCACAAATCGTTGGTAAAATTAATCATGCTCTTGAAATGCACTTTAAATGCCGCAAAGCGGACATCTGGATGTACAATACAAAGAAATGTCGTTTCTTCTGCTTTGATCCCAACAGAGAGAAGCCAATTCAGGTAGAACCTCCAAATGCAGGCGTAATCGGTCATTGCCTTGAATCCTGTACAATGATACACGAAAGATCAGTTAGATCTCATCCAAACTACAACTATCTTCTCGACGGAACTTACGATGAACCAGTCCTTGCAATGCCTTATGTAGATCTTGAGAACAGAACATGGGCAGTTATACTCCGCGGTAGAGCCAATCCACGCTATTTCACTGCTATAGACGTTAGCGATCTACGAACATCCGTTTCCTTCATCATCCACGCGTTATCAGCTTCAATGTCACCTCCACAGTTCGAAGCCCAGCTTGATGACTTCGAGCAAAGACTTAAAGCTCTTCTGGATATCGCGCAGAACCTTTCTGGAACGCTAGATATCGATGTTCTGATTCCGACTATTATGGACAGAGCCATTCAGCTTCTCAAATCCGAAAGATGCTCATTATTCTTAGTAGATCAGACGAAACAAGAGCTCGTAACTCACTTCCACGGCGGTCTTGATACAGAAATCAGAATGCCAATGAACAGAGGTATTGTCGGCCACTGCGCCATGACCGGTGAAACAGTTAACATTGAAGATGCATATCTAGATTCAAGATTCGATAAAACTGTCGACTTGAAAACAGGATATCGAACTAAATCTATTCTTTGCCTTCCAATTTACAACAACAGAGGTGAAATTGCAGGTGTAACAGAAATGATTAACAAGATTGGCTCAGACAAATTCGATGCAGATGACATTAAAATGTTAATGGCTTTTAATGTCTTTTGTGGCATTTCCCTTGATAACGCCAAGCTCTACCAAGCATCATTAGACCTCACGAAGCAGCTGAGAACATTCGTTGATTTGTCAGCAGCTCTTTCCCATGCAGATAAAATCCGAAATGCTCTTCAGTCCATTTTGATGAGCGCGATGAAAGCAATGGATGGATTAAGAGCAACGATCTACCATATCGACCAAACTAACGGAAAACTCACAAAGCTTGTTAATGCAGGAATTGAACCTAAATACGACACAATTTTTGCACAATTAGCTCTTCAAAAGCTTGCACCACAGATATTTGGTGCACAAGAGATAGAAGAGATCGTCAATTCCGGTGCAGACAACAAAAGTGTCCAAGATGACAACATGTCAGTGAAATCAAACAAAGCGAACGAAAGACAAAGAAGAATTGCATCGATTATCACGAGAAATGCATCAATAGAGACAATGAAATCAGGTGGAGGAGCTGCAGAAGTCAACATTGTCTGCAGTCCAATGCTTACATCAGAAAACACTCCTTTAGGTGTCTTGGAGATAGAAACCGCCGTAAAAATGATGAATGAAAACCTGAAACTGCTTGAATGTTTCTCAGTTTTTGCAGCAATATCAATAGAAAAGTTCCAGTTAATTGATATTGTTAAGCTTGGCCAAGGCGAGAGAGAACTAAAACAGATGATTTCTGATGAAGAAAGAACTTTGACAACAAAAATTCCAGAAAAAATGAGTATCGAAAATGATTCTATTTGGAAGAGGCATTTCGATGCACAGTTGTGGGCTGATCAGTACATAACTGTTTTGTTCAATATCTTCTATAGATTCGATCTGCCAAAGGAGTTCAACATCACAAATGAAAAACTTTTCAGATTTTTGACAGAAATTAGAGATACGTATAAAAAAGTTCCATACCACAACTGGAGACATGCTGTTGATGTTACCCAGTTTGTTGTTTACGAACTCCTTGAATCAGGTTGCGATAAAGTTCTCACTAAATTCGAAGTTTTCGCTTTGTTAGTTTCAGCGGTTTGTCATGATGCAAATCATGATGGTTTTACAAATGTTTACAACGTAAAAGCTGAGACTCCTCTTGGTATTTTATTCAAGAACCAGTCAGTTATGGAGACACACCATTGCCAAGTTGCAATTGGAGTGATTTCCAAAGAAGAATGCAACATTTTTTCAGCATTGAATGCAGGTGATAACAGAACTATGTGGATGACAATCATTTCATTGATTTTGTCAACAGATATGGCCAAACATTTTGAAATTTTGAAGAATTTCAATGCGATTATGGACGCTGGTGAGTTTTCTATGGAGAATAAAGATCATAGAATTCTTCTAATGCAGTTATTACTTAAGACTGCTGATATTTCAAACGTTTCGAGGCCATTCGATATTGCAAACAGATGGTGTGACATTTTGTGCGAAGAATTCTTCAGACAAGGTGATTTAGAAATGGCTCAGGGCATGGAATATACATCTGATTTAAATGATAAGGCTCATCTTGATAAACCAAAGTCTCAAATTGGTTTTTATACTTTTGTTTGCTTACCTTTGTATCAAGCACTTGCAAGAGCTTTCCCTCAATTAAGCGTTAACGTGAAATCAGTCCAATCTAATCTTGCAATCTGGAAACAGACAACAGAAGCAAAACAAAAACTTAATTCATCATGAATAATATAACTTATTACTGTATTTATAATATTTATTGTTTGAATAATGTAAAAAAATAAATATAATTACCTTTTTATATTGTAGATTGCTTAGGCTTAAATGCATGTTGAAGGCACGACTAAATTACTGTATTAACAAATAAAAATCTATAAGTTTTTCATGAATATTTTTTTATTAGTAACATTTCATTATCTAAATTTTACCCGAATGAAATTTGATACTTTTTATCAACTAAAAATTCAAATGGTATTTATGTTTCCACAGGTTCGAAAGTAAGGAATTCGACATAATATTGATCATTAAGTGTTGGATCATGTTTTGGTATTTCAGATACAGCACTTTGGCTAGGATCGCATATAGCACTGATTTTTGATTCATTTTTTTCTGCTTTCTTTTTTTGATTTTTAAGTGTGCAATATCTATTTTTGCAATTTATATCTGTTCTTCTATCAAAGAATGTTTTAATCGTTGCCCAATTAATTTTCCCAAATACATTCTTATGATGATTGGCTAATTCAATTAATTTTCTATCACCATCTTCTATCCATGGTGTGTTGTTTATTGTTGGGTTTAAATAGTTAACCCATCTCTCTCTGCAAGATTTTTCATTTCGGTTAGCAAGTTTTTTGGCACACTTATTCCATTTCTGTTCTCCATTCTCACGCACATGATCAACAATAATCTGATCTTCCTCTCTTGTATATATCAGTCTCTTTTTATGCATTACAAGAGTAATAATGATATTTTTTCCCATTGAATTTAAATTGAGTATTTTACAAGTCGTCTCAAATTCAGGAAATATCCAAAAAAATTTAATGATTATTAACATAATTGATATATACAATCTAATTTTCAAGTTAAAAAAAATGTTGTCGTCAATTGAAAAACCATTCAATTTTTTTTCTGAAGTTCAACAGCTTTATTCGGTGTATTTTTTTGAACGTGTTATAATCATCAAATAGATATTAGAAATTATTATTACAAAACAATGACACGTTATCTATCAATTTGTCTGGAAAAATAATACAAATTGTGGGAAAGTGACGTGTATTGACTAAATTATTTAAAAATTAATATGTATAATAAGTTACCATCCAATATTTAAATTTTAATAACATTCAAAGAATTCTTTCCACCTGCGACTAAATAGCACATATCGTCGAAATTTAAGGTTAATAGGTTTAAAAATCAATCCGTGTAAAGTAGTCGAAATTTGATTTGGTTATCATAGAAATGAGACCATTATCATACTTAGAATTAAGTATGTTTAGGGCAGGTTTATATGATGAATGCAATAAATCGTATATTCAAATACCCATCAATTCAAATTTTTTTGGGTCCCTTTTCCAATGAAATCATAATGCCCAAAACAATTTGAAGTGATTGGTATTCCAATTTATCTGAGCAAAGCTCAGAAAAAGTTTGGAGTATATTTCTAATATCCATATAAGGAATTTGCGGTCATTCTTAAAAGTACTTCTAATGCTCTCTTTCTATAACTAGAAGAGGAATATAGCTTGGTTATCAAAAACTCTAGATCTATAATTAATAGTCATCATTTCTAGTACTTGAATCACAAACTTTCGGTAAATTTTAAAAATATAAATACATACATAATTATTTAATATCAATTATCATATTTTTGTCTTTTTGCACTTTTCTGTTGTTTTTTCCAATTCAAGAAATTCCTAATTACTTCTTCTCCCGAATCTTCAGATGCGAAGTCCACACTAGGTGTCTGCAATTGTAATTTTTGAGGTCTTCTTGCAGAGCGCGGAGAATTTGAAGACACAACATATTGAGGCTGCTGAATAGCATTAGCGACTGCAATTTTATATGCATTTTCTACTTCATTTATTGACTCTCTGAAGTTTCTTGCCATTCTTGCAGTTTGCTGTTGAAAATCGAGACTTAATTGGCTCAACGATTTGTTCTGTTCCGAAATAACATTCTTATACCCGTTAATAAGTGAATAAACATCAGCAATTGCTTCTTTCATTGATACACTCAAATTACTGTAACTTGCATCAAATTTCTCACGAACTCTTTCGAGTTTTCCTTGCTGCGATTTCATCTGTTTGAGAAGCTTTTCGCTGAGGTTTCCGCTGTATTCGAAAGCAGGTGGAGGCATTGGCCGATCTGTATTTGGTGGATGATAGATTGGTTCGCTCATTCTGGAGAAAGGTGGATGATACTGGAAATCTCCAATCATCTGGATCGGTCTAGGAGTATTTGGATTCATTTGTGGCATAATAGAAGCTTGTATATAGTTGGCTGTGGAGAGTTCTGGTACATATCTGATGGAATAACTAAATGCTTTGGAAGTTTTAAGCTGGGCAACGCTGGAAGGCGGTCTACTGAACTGCTGGAAGCTTGCAAATCTTCTCCAACTCTGAGATAATGATGGAGATGGTGGTGGAGTGGAATTTCTTGCCAAATCTAATTCTTTTTGATGGTTAATTTCGGTTTGATGCTTTTCTACATCGAATTTGGCCTGAAGCAATTCCAATTGGAGTTTATGATTAGCTTCTGCTTGCTCCATTTGAACTTTTTGGTTCTCTTGACCAGATATTGCGGCATTATATTGATCTCTGAGGGAATCAAGTTCGCGGCGTAATTGATTCTCTTTTCTAGATGATTTTGGTGTCCTTTCTTCTTCGAATGAGCTTTCTTCTTCATCTTCCAATTCTTGTTTTCTCCGAGAAAGCTTTCTTTGATGCATTTTATTAAGCTTATCAAGATCAGCATCAAATTTCTGTTTCATATCTGACTTTTGTTTCTCGAATTCTTCATCCATTGAATCTAATTGCGATTGATGTTCTTCTTTTAACTTATTAAGCTCATTTTCATTCTTCTTCTTAAGTTCATCAATATTATTCTGTTGCTTATTTGCTTCTTCCTGGAATTTAGTTTTAATTTCTTCCAATTCTTTATCATTATTAGAATTAAGTTCGTCGACTTTCTTCTTATGTTCTGATTTAATATTATTTATCTCTTTTTCATTGCTTTCTTTGATGTTTTTAACATTTTGTTCATGATCTTTTTTAATTTTGTTGATTTCATCATTTTGCTCTTTAATTAGCTTATCCTTATTAGGAGCGTCTCTCCTAACAGATTGAAGATCCTTCAAAAGTGAATCATCTGTAATATCCAACGTAATACTTCCTGTTTCTTCAAATTTGGACATATCTTTTTGATGTTTTGACTTCATATCATTAACTTCTTGGTCATACTTATCATTTAATTCCTGAATTTGGTTCAAATGCAAAGTTCTTATATCTTGAATTTCATTTTCATTTTGTTCCTTCAGGCGGGCGACTTCATTTTGATGTTCCTTTTTGAGATCTTCAATTTCTTTCTCAAACTTTTGTTTCAAATCATTGATATCTTTTTGATGATCTGATGTTAAATCTTTTTCTACGGAATTATTAGATGGTTTGGATTCTTTTATGGAATTAACCTCTCTATTATGGATTTCTTTAAGTCTTTCGATTTCTCTTCGATTATCTTCTTTCATTCTTTCGATTGCTTCATTGCATTCACGTTCTGCACGTCGTTTTTGGTCTCGATAGTCTTCTTCTGCGCTTTGCATAAGCTGTGTATACTTACTTACTGTTTCAGAGTATTCTTGATTTAATTTATTTTTATTTTCGATGACGCTTTGCAAACGGTCTTGAAAATTTGATTCTTCTTGTGCAACTCTCTGCTTTAAATCGTTTATCCTCTGCTGATGCTGTTGTTGTATTGCTTCAATTTCTTTTTGATTCTGTGCTTGTAATGTTTCCTGTTCAATACGCGCCTTTCGTCTTAAAACTTCCATATCAACTTTCAATTGAGCTTCAAGTTCATCTTTTTGCTGTTGCAACTGAGCATAATTGTTATTATTCTGTTGAATCGGAGAACCTTGCAATGAAGATTTAGGCAACACAGTTTGTTTCATCGGTAATAACGATTTAGGAGCAACTGAAGATGCTCCGGTTGGTGATTTTTGAGTTAAGCTTCCTCCTTTGCCTAATGCTGCAAGAGGTCTTGTATTTGAGGAGACGGAATATTGATTTTGTGATCTTTGCGCTTGAAGTTTCTTTTCTTTCTCTTCGGCAAATAATTTTTTGAAATGACTATCTAACGGATGATCCCAGAGTGATTCACCAGTATCGCTATTGAAATAAAAGGGATCCCCTGAGCCATCTTTTCGTTGGTATAATTTCCAACCCGGAGGTATTTTTGCTTTAAGTGCATCTCTTGCAATCCAAAACAAATCTCGGTCATTTTTAAGATCTGCACCAAGCCATTCTGCATAATCCTCTATTTCTTTATCTGTCGGTTCATAATCATTTGCATTTGGATCGGGAATTTCGATGAAAGACCCGGATTCCATATTTTGCAAAAATTAATAAACGCCATCATTTCCTTCTGAAAATTTTGTAAGGAAAAATAAATGATTTTGACGTCATTTCTCCATTACATGAAAGGACTGATTGCCAAGAAACATATTATACACACTGATGCATGAAATGTTCCATGTAGTTACATCATTTGAGCCACTTTTCCTTATAGCAAATTAGATACAATCTCTGATGCAAGTTCATAAGATAATATTTCATAAAAGCTTTGAAGATACACCTCAAAAACTTTAGTTTGCTATAGTAGTTTGAGAAATTCAATATTTATACATTCAGTTATAGTGCAACTAGGCACGTATTTATCTGAGGTGTAATAGCAATTAGTTCAAAAACGGATAATTATATGTTTCAAAAGAATAATTTATTGATAAACACCATTTGATGAACACTAAGTACTCTTATTCGAATTCAGCTGGATCGACAATACGATGGAGTTCTGGTGACATCGGATTGTTCTTAATTAAAAACATTGCGAGACTTTCTACTGGATCTTCTGGACGTTCTTTAATAATCCATGAGATTCCTTCAAGAAGTAATGGAACGACTGTTTCTTGTATGTATTCTTGCTTTGGAAGAGATCTGGTTGGCATTGCAGTATTTAATGATAAAGCGAGCTGCTGAAGACGTTCAGAATCAGCAGATAATTTCTCTGTTTGTGGAGCTTCTTCAGCTGGTTGCTCGTCTTCTTTTGGTGGTGAAAGTGCTTCTGGAGGAATATTTTCTTCCATTTTTTGAAACGTATTCCAAAAGTGACAATATAATTTTAAAAAAAATGTGGAAAACCCTGTAGATTATAAGTGTTCGCTATCAATTTCTGATTTTCAAAATTTTTGGCCAAAAATGTGGAAGCAGTATATTCCTCTATTTTTAGCAGGAACTGTTGCTGGTATTTCTGTTCCATACTTTTTCGGTACAATTTCTCGCTGGGGAAAACCAAAAGTTAATGACAATAAGAAGAAGAAAGAAGAAGAAAAACCGCAAAATGAAAATGTCGATCCAAGATTTGATTTTCCAAGGCCAACTTATAATTACACTGGAGAATACAAACTCGTTTTAGGAGTTCGTATGGATATTGAGCACTCATTGCCAGATATGGCTAGCTTAATTGGCGATATGGCAATTAAATCCGTTGTTAATGCAATGCAATTTAAGAAAGATGATGTTTTACAGTGGCTTCACTTTGGACAAGCTAAAATTACAACCAAAGTTCCAGATGCTGCTAAGATGGCCGAGCTTATTCAAAAATGCAAAGACGCAAATGTTCCATTTGCTGTTATAGAGAAAGATGGTCAGTCAGTTATCATTGGTATTGGCCCAGGTCCTATTGAACCAATTACAAAGGTTAGTGGCGACTTGAAACTCATCTAAGTTCGCAATTTAGATAAAGCCATATAAGAAATAGTTTAAAGAACGTAAATTTTGGCAAACAATAAACTTTAAATTAAAGATAGAACATTTACTCCTTGTTGTTTTTAATATTTAGAGCGTTCTCAACTATTGTTTTAAGTAGAAGTTATATTTAGGAGGATTGTAGACTCTCTAATTAAAAGTAATGTTTAAAAATTGAACTTTTCTCAATAATATCACTGACTGCATTTACAATCTTGCAGAAAATGCTTCTGATTTTTAGTACTTAAGTATTTTCTATAGCTAAATTTGTCATTCTAATGTTAGATCTTTGAATAAGAATTTTATCCAATCAATATTATCTCTAATATTTCAATCCCGCATCTGAAATGGTTCACTATCAGCAAGTTAATACATGTTATATCATCAAGATATCATATTTAATGAAGGAAGTATACATTTCAATTGGGAAAAATGTTAAAAAGTAATTTTAACAAAGCGAGATAATAGAATTATGATTGCGAAGCTAGAGCTAAGGAGCATAAGTATATTAAAATTGGATTATGTTTTTATCTGATATCTAGTATTTTTGCCGCATCATATACAAAAATTCAATTATTTTCTGAGAATTAACGGAATATTTTTAGATGGATTTCTAACAAATTATTTCCAATCAACCTCCATTTATATTCTCAATTTTTCAGTTTATCATTTCATATCATTTGTTTGAATATTATAATATAAATCACTCTTTTTGCTAAACGAAACAGATTTTCAATTTGAAAAGCCTCATTGAAATTGAATTTTGACAGAAATAGTATGGGGCGAAGAAGGAAAAACGCCCGTGGAGGACGACACGCCGGAGAAGATGAACAATGTGGCAGTAATTCAGATGCTGACGACGATTCAGACGATATTGGAGGGTTTGATGATCCTCGAGCATCTGATCCAAATACAATTGAGTATAAAATTGTCCATGCTAAGCATCCATTTGAGAAAAGGAAATTCATAGAGTCAAAAGTTGTCACCCCATCTCAACGTGCTATCACTTGTTGCATACAGACAAATGGGGGTTGGGCTTCCGAAGATGTTTTACTGGAATTCCTACAGAAAAATTGGGGTTTCATAGGAAAAATGAATATAAAATTACCAAACAATATGCCTGACACAAGAATTTTACATATTAATTTAGCTGTAAAAAAGAAAAACCTTCCTCTCTTTGTACAAGACCCGGCAAAACCATATATGTGGACCGTAAACACATCAACGGATTATTCACAAATCTCTGATAAGAGTAGAATAATTTTATCAAGACGTTCGCAAGAAACAGATCAAGAAAATGATGGTGAAGATTCGCAAAAGGAACCGGAAACTCTCGAAGAAGCATATAGGAAAGATAAAGCGGACTCTTTCGAAGCTCATGTTTTTCAAACTCTGAAAACATATCAAGATGGAACAACTTTAGAACAACTTGCCGAAGCTACAAAGCAATATGAAGGTCAGCCTGGTTTATTCCAATTGTTGACGCATATCAGAAGAGTTCGTGCGGTTTTAATTGCAAAAAAGTCGACAAACGACGTTTTTGAGAAAAATGGAATTTGGTCTTGTTATCTTAATATTCCAAAGCCTCCTGAAACAGTAAGAAAAGAATCTGATTTCTTACCTCCTTGCTTAAGATCCGTAAATATAACTGAATTAACACTCGACGAGTTCTACAACGTCCTGAAACAGAACAGGGCAAATTAATTTAATGAAATTATAACTTTATTTAACATACAAAACAAAAATCAAAAAAATATGTACTGATACAAAAAATTTTTAATAATATAATAAAAACTTAATTTATCCGAACAAGTAATGATACAAAACATGTTTATAAGACTTCAAATTTAAAGATTGCTGATTGCTCATTTTGATTTTTCGTGAGTACGAATTTGAAATCGTTTGTTAAGCTTAAGTAATAAAAATCACTTTTGCTAGCAGATGGATTTTCATATTGAATAGTAACCGCTTGAGGAGATAATCCATCAAAAGAGAAAGTTTCTGTGGAAAGTGGTATTTTTGAAGTGAACAAAGGATCACCATCTTGTGATATTGAAAGGTAGTTACCTTTGAAATTTAGAATTGCCCATTTCGCTTTACCTTTTTTACATAATTGAAATTTGCATTTGTCATTAATCTTATCTACTTTTTTAATGCCACCTTCTTTCATCGCCTGAATAAGTGCGTTATCAAAACTACGAATTAAAACTTCATCTCCATCCTGAAGAGGTAATGTTGTCATTGTCACTTTTTATATATATATGATATGGAAGAAAAGTTGTGAAGATTATGACAAACTTAAGCTATTATAATAGTAAATCGAAAATCAATAAATGCATATATAAATCATTTTTTCCTAAATTATTGACTTTTTCAAAAAATGACTAATGTGAGAAAGCTAGCTCAAAGTGCCCCGTACAAACTATATTCATGAGAAGGAAGTCAAGACTTTTAAAATGAAAAAATTGAAAAATATAAAGGAAAAATTATCTAAAATTATTTTTACCATAATCTGCTTGGTGCCACTTAAATTAGTTGGATTACCAAGCAGATAATAGTGTAATAAAGGTTTTCAGTCCAAATTTGAGTTATTCCAGCAGTGAATGGTGAATGTTCGACCACTGTACTATGCATCCTCAAGAATTTCAAATGTAGGGCGTTTTATGAGCGCCTCCGAGCCCAAAAGTATGTTCAAAAGTTTGGATTATATGAGCAATCATCATTTTTGTTTCTAAAAACAGAGATCTTAACAAGGCTTCCAGATTTTCCTGGATATCAACCAGGCGATTGAAATCCAATTACCAAACAAAATTGGATCCGGAATTGAAATTTCATTCTCCAGCATATTTCTTTCCCATTGAAATTTCATTTTATAAAATTTTATGATAATCGTAGTTCAGATCATTTTACATGTCCCCGAGCCCACCTCGAGTTAAGATAGTTTTACTTGGTGATCAGGCAGTCGGAAAAACATCCCTTCTTAAAAAATGGGTTGTTGGTAATTATGATGTAAACTTACCTCCAACTGATGGTGGACCAACTCAGATCAGACAAGATGTTGTAGAAGGAGTTAAATATAGTTTTAAAATTTGGGATTCAACTGGTGAAGAAAGATACAGAGCTCTTACCCCTTTACTCGTGATGCATCTGCCGCAATGATCGTTTTCGATTTAACTTCACAGACATCTGTGGATAACATCAAACAATGGGTGGAATTCGTTCACCAGCATAGCTCCATGCCCTTTATAATAGTTGGAAATAAGGAAGATTTAGTTGATGAACAGATTATTACCCCAGAAGAAGCTCTGAAGTTAGCTTCCTCAGTTCAAAGCCAGTTTTTTGCTACAAGTGCTAAAAACGGAAATAATGTCGACTTAGCTTTTCGACAATTGGAATGTATTGCCGTTGAATATTACACGAATTCTGGAAGAACCGCTACGGTTGTTATTGATCCAGAACTCCTACCGCCTCCACATGGTTGCAGTTGCTGAATTGACTTTTTTTTTAGTTTAGATTTGCTTTTAGCTATACATTTTCTTATTAAGTTTTGAATACAAGTTATAAATTTGAAAAATTTATTCTTTCAACCTTTAATTAATGAATGTTTTTTTTATGAACAGAACATTTTGGAAATATTTTGCTTGGCATATGAATCATAGTAATGTGTGTGGACTCATAGAATTACTTCTATTAGATTTTGAGAAAAATTATGAGATTTTATTGTGTATTATGAAAAATAAACGAAAAAGATCACTCGAGAAGAGCACAATTATTGATTTCTTACGTTTCTATTTTTTTTTTTTGAATTTTTCAATTGTGGTCAAATTTCGAAAATAAGTTCACCTTCTAATAGAGTACTTAATAATATCCACAAAACGCACATCATCTTCATTCAGTATTTCTTCTTTTAACCATCAAGTTTCTGGATATTATAAGAATCGAAACCGAAAAATCATTGTTTTTAAACAATTTATTTGATTTAACAAAAATGCAACTATAAATATGAATCATAGAGAGAAATATTTTTTCCTAACTTGTCTATAATTTAAATTTCTCCAATTTTGCAACCTAATAGGTAATACAGATCTCGAGTGTCATTGGTTTTGGTATTTCTGATAGCTATCACTACAAACAAGCTGAAGAAATGAAAAATTAAGGTAATTTAAAAATATGAATGTAAATTTATATCCAATAACTTAAGAAAAAGATGTGTATATTTATGAAAGCATACTTCAGACATAGTTTTACTCTTTAATCATCTTCATCTTCTGTGCAATATCCGTTATCAGAATAATCAGAGCCCAAATCCTTTGGTGAGAGAACATTAACAACTGGTTTTGGTGCCTCTGGAGCTGGCTGAGCTGGCGCATTAGGATCAACTGGAGCATCTGGATTTGACTTTGGTTCTTCTGGATATTCCTTTGGTATATAAATATGGCGCTTAACAGGTCTTCTGTTTGGATTTCCATCAATGATTGGATCGTAATTTTCATCTTGCATTTGTTCTGCTTCTTCTTTCAATTCATTAAGGAAGAAGTTTTGCATATCTGTCATTTCTTGAGCAGATCTTGCTGTCTTATAAGCATCAATGTAATCTCCGTTTTGTTCAAAGAATGAATGACCCCACTTGAACTGATTTAAGAGTTCATCGGCTGCATCTTGCATGCCAAAGATGGCTAAGCAAGCTGCAAGGGCTTCTGCGCAGTTTAATCTCCATGGTTTACCAAAATTGACTGTATTTGCGGCAACTAAATAAGGAAGGACTCTGTGATGTCTAGCTTTAAGCTGAGTAACATCAGTATGGTCGAGTTGTTTCCATGAGCAATCTACAACAGCCAAGCCTGATGAAAGTGCAAGTTCTTTATCTTCTGGGCTGATAATTTGAGTTCCGATTGGTGAGAGAACGAGACCGTGAAATGTATCTCTGAGGTTAAGAACACGAACGTATCCTAATCTCTTTAGTTTAATTCCAGAGCATCTCTTTGGATCGCACTGGCCAAAGTCCCACATGGCAAGACGAACTGGGAATTCTGGATGATCATGTGCAGATGGCTGGCCAACTCTATCGAAGCGTTTGTTCTTTCCACGCTTCTCTTTTTGTGGAACTTTACCGTTCTTTCCCATGTATTTAAAAAAACATCAGGGGCTAACTAAAAATCATAGGGGACAAGACCAAAATTTTCGAACCCAAATAAAATAAGTGTCAGACCCCAAATATGCATAAAATCAAACCCAATTTTCCTAGGGTTACTGATTGCTTCCTTTTTACTTGATTTGCAACAAATGAAAGAATTTATTAGGATAGTATAATTTATTACTTCAATGGGCTACTATCTTGTGCAATATATTTAGTTTCATTATTAATAATACTCCCATATTATTCGATCTAAAAGACACTTCATAAATTTTAAATATATTGCAACAGAACTTCTACTTAGAGATAAGAACAAGTTTATACCTATCAAAAACCCATGGTGACTGAAGCTTACAGTTACAGTTGGTAAATCTTTAACTAGTTAGTTTTATGACAGCGAGAAATGTCATGTCATGCAATACATAACCAAATAGTGCATAGGATGGAAGGGTTCTGGATCTAAAATCGGAAATTTTTCTTAGAAGTTAGAAAAAAATTTTTAAAAATTGTAATGGTTGTTTTTCAACAGTATAGTTTAGGTTTTTGTTAATTGTGTTTTGCATTGTTAAGATAAAAATGGATATAATTTATTGAGCTGGTGGGTTAGCGGCTGCTGGATGGGGTTGAACGTTATCAGTGAACATTCTGTGTTCAAGTGTTGAGAGTGGGAATGCTCCAGAATCGTTTGTACGGAGGTTCTTTCCTTGGCATCTGTCTCCATTAAGGTAATCGACGAAGATAAGATCCCCTGTAAGAACATTGATTTCTCCAGCGCGAGTAGCCTTGTAGTCCTTGACGCAAAGTAAAACAGATCCGATAACCAGTTGCTTGATCTCTTTCTTTCCTACGATTTCGACAAATGTTGATGGGAATGTGCCTCTTCTGCTTTCGACTTCGCCTTCCCACCAGCCACTGTTGTGCTGGTTGAGAATCTTGATTCTGTCGCCTCTGCTGAACTGAAGGTCCTGGACTTCGTCTGATCTGTAATCGGAAAGGGCAATGCCGTAGATGTCGTTGGATTCGGTACTTGAAGGAGGAGCACGAGGATCGATTGTTGTCTGGACAAATCTGTCTGATCTGTCTTCGGCATCGAATGTAAGGATCTTCTTGTAAAGTCTGTTAGCACCTTCGCGATCAGAATCATGAAGACGAATGGCCATTTGAGCGAAAACTTGGATATTTTCTTGAAGGTTCTTCAGACGAGATTTATCGAAGTCTCTGAACATGTTGCAGATTTGTGGGAATTGATCTGCCTTAGATTTGTTGGCGAACTCTTCAAGGATTTTCTTCCTCTTGGCTGCTTCATCTGTTGCCTTGGCAATCTTCTTTTGCTGAGCATCGCGCTTCTCTGTTTTGACTGTCTTGAGGGCATCTTGCTCTTTCTGAACATCAGCAACAGCATTGTCATAATCCTTAATGAGACCCTTCAATTCCTTGTATTGCTTGTGGAGGATCTTTTCAATGGATTTCTGGTTTTCGGATTGTGTTTTTGCGAAGATTTTTCCGCTCTTGGATTGGATGATTAAAACTTTAAGTTCATTTGACATTCTAAGATGCTGAGCGGATTCAATTTTAAGATCTTCGATAATATTTTCCATGATATAGTCGTTTGGAGTTGTCTTTTCTGGGATTAACTCTTTTAAGATATGCGAGATCTTTTCTTCTGCTTCAGCACGCTTGACAATAAGCTTATTGATAGAATCAAAGCTCTCTACACCACCGGTAATTCTATCTCTTATGCGCTTATACACATCGAGAAGTTCTTTAGCTGACATTAAAAAGTATCCGTGTAAACTTCTCAAAAAACTTACTATCGATAATTCACTGTTACAGTTTATCAACTAAATTTGTAATACATGAAGAAAGATGATTCGAAGAATCCATAAAAAATTGCCACGGCTATTGATTTGTTTGCATGCATTATAGTTATAATATTTATATTACATTTATTGTCCTGTTACAATTTTTTATTCAAAACTCGGAAAATCAACAACTTTTTAAATACGATTTTTTCAAAATCTCTCAGGTACTCAATATTTTATGATATCATGTTTTAAAAGTTTGTGGAGAATTGGTTTTAGTAAAATTTTTATAGTATGACAATCAAGAATTTCAAAATAAAAAGTGTAATCTCAGAGGCCATACTAATGAAATTAGCATTGAATTAGCTATACGATAATATTGTTAAGTAATTCTTATTCAATCTTAATTTCAGTGCTGAAATAACATTTACTGGAATAAAAATTAACAATTAATTAAACAAACTAGATGGAAAATTCATTCTTTGAATAAAGTTTCATCCTCTATTTGCTCGTAGCCAAGAAAATATTTATATTGGATGTATTTTATCAAAATCTTTAATAATTTCTGTGTAATATGCAATCTAAAGCTACAATAACGTTAATATTTCAATCAAACTTATCAACATGAGTCAATGATTATCAAATACAAGTTTTAATATAGTTTCTTCGAAATAAAACCTATTTAATGCACAAATTCACAATGATCTTTCTCATTTTTCATATAATCATCCATAGCTCGTTTTTCTTAGATATTGCTTAGGCTTCAATCGAATTTTTTAAAATCAAAATCTAAAATGCAAGTTTATGTGAGAGAATAAAGATGTATATGTTTTAATCAGGAAATGGGGCATGATATCTGGTTATAAAAATCTTATCTGTTGTAATTTATAGTGATAGATGTGATGTAAAATCGAAATGACACTTTTTGATTACAATGTCGAAGGGAAGATTTGATGATTTTATTGTGCTATCAAAGCACATTCCATTGCTAACAACAAAAGTTAATAATATTGTTAGCAGTATAACAAGTGTTGATATTGATAAAAAGTTAAAATTAGGAGCAGAAGCACAGAAATTAGCAACAATTTTGGAATCCAAAAAAGAAGACATATTAAAATCCCATTCATCAATTAAGATTTCCAAAGAGCAGCTTATGATCATTGATGATGTAATCAAATCTCAAAAGCAAACGATTTCCGATATTGATTACGTCGTTCAATGGATAAGTAATAGCAAAACTCAACTCGCCTCATTAAAAGGATCAGGAGTACAACTTGATTTATCATACGGAAATGTAATAACAAATTATTTCTGTCAAATTTTTAATGCAACAGCGAAAGCTCATCTACAACTCTGCTCTGTAGGAAAGCAGCTTTACAAATTTTGGCAGTTTTTGCGCCTTTCATCGAGTTCAAATGAATTTTCGAACATGAATAGCGAAATTATTGATTCCAACCTTCAATGTTTTACAACAAACTCGTTCGAATACCTCGAGCAGAAGTTAACTTCAATATTTGGTATCTGTTATCAGTTTATTCGCAAACTTGTCAACGTTTTGTCGCCATTGATTTCTCCATTTACTACATTCGACTGGTCACAGTATTCTATAGAATCTGATGACTTTATTGGCGAAGTTACGGGCGCTTTACTTCCACAACATTACATTTTCAAAAATCTTTCCCTTTATACAGAAACAACAAAGTTTATTGCCTTAATTTTCTCAGATCTTGTCGCGAAGAAGCCAGAAACCATGGATTTCTTCTCTCAAATCTTTTCGGAAACAGATCATATCAATCTAAACGAAAATTCACAGATTTCCAATGCAGAATTAGCGAAATTATCTAATTTACAGCCAGATATTGCTAACAGACTTAGGCAAGATGAGATTTTCAAACAAAAGAAATTCAAATTCCATCCAGAACGCGTTATCCATCTTACAAACCTTCTCAACGAGCTCGAAGACCATTACGAGTTTTGCAATTCCATACTTTGGATATACAACGATGAGATTTTGGCGTTATTAGGTTTCGCTTACTACGAATTATGCATTTGCTTTGAATTTGAAGAGCAAACGTGCAACGAAAGTTACAAGAAATTCGATGTTAAGACCATCTGGGAGAAAAGCTTTGATCTTCTCGCAGCAATTGTAAGATTATTTAATAAGATCGAAATCCAATCGACAACAATGCAGAGAAACTACGTATTTAATCTTGCTACACAAGATACTGAATATTTACAGCAGCATATCCAAGTATTTCAAGAGTTTGAGCTAGATCAATCTCATATGACTCTTGTTCTTGGTCTCCAAGCCATTATTAACAGCCTGATGAAGGATGTTGACCTTGACAAATTCGATAATGGCGAGAGATTCGACTTCCTTCCACTCACAGTTTCAATTGGCAGATTAATCATGTATTGCTTCAAGAATAAGATAGCCAACCAGTGCAGTGTCATCCTCCAAGACCTCGACACCATCAATCGTCACATCCAGAACGCTCAGAACCCCATACAAGTTATTTATGACACAATTCCTATCCATACTATCCGTAATTTCGTCGAGAGGACGTCGAAAGTCATCGAACCACGCTCAACTTCCATTGATTCGTACCGTTATTTCCTTGATCTCTACAGATACATTCCAAATTCTCCGAAATCCGACGAATCCTTTGTAGCCTTGTACAAGACATATTTGGACAGATTGACCAGCATCTTCGAAAACAACATTTCCATATCAAATATGACCACTTTGATCATTAGACAAGGCGAATATGATCCGAAATTCAAGCCAGAGACGTTTTCCAGCAATTTCTATGCCGAGCACTACAACTCCTTCAAGACCAGTGCCTCTCTCATCAACAAACAGACCATGGCGTTGAATTGCGTCTACTCAATGCCGCAATACACCATCCACGGTACTACAAAAGTCCAAGGGAAGGAAATGCTGAAGAAAGCCATATTAGAAAAGATCGCCAAGAAGCTCAGTGACTCAGAACCGAACCCTCTTATCTTAATTTCCTTCATCAACGTCATGATTCAGACATTACAAGGTGTTGCGAGGGCTCTCGACGTTGACTTGGTCAGCTCCATCATGTCTGAACTCCGAAAACAGCTAAACTGCGAGCCGTCGAAAGGATTTGTTGGAAATTTCGGAGATTTGACATTATCAAAGAAAGCAGATTTACTTTGTTCGTTAGACGATATAAGTCTTGACGGTTATGTATCGTTCTTTACATCGGCTTTAGGTGATTTTGTACAGAACGGAAACAAGAAGTCCACATACGAACCATTCGGTCTTAGATTTGTTGGCGATGCATCATCGAAACATCCACATGATTTGATATTCGCACAATTGCCAATCAGTGATTTATTACACACATTTGGCTACGATATCGGATTGGCAAGTATCCATACATTGAACAAGAAGATGCTTGAGTTCTTCAACAAACTGACAACTGTTTTTACTGACAACAAATCAGTCATTGCCAGTTGGTTGAGTCAATACGAAACATCTCAAAACAGGAAGTTCCCAACAGATTTCCTACAAAGCGCTGAATTCCAAGACGCGAGTGAAGCGATGATGAATATTGGTGTTTCAACAGTTCTTTATAAGATGATAAAGAGATCTGCTCAATCAATGACATCCGCTTTGTTCCCTGGTTTCAATGATGCAGTCATGGCCGCAGTTTCAAGGTGTGTTGACCGCAAAGATGGTTTGAAACCACAAGAAATGTTGATTGCAGAAATGATTGGTGTTTCTGAGAAAAACTATTTCTTGAGGGAATTGTTAAAGCGAAAGATATTGAGTAAATTCGATGCCAAACTTTTCTTGTTCTATTTGGCTTTGTTGTTTGGAAACACATCATGGGATTACATCCATTTCAGTGATGATAATGACTCATTCACACATAACATGCAGTGTTTGTGTATCGCGTTCGGAACAATTTTGGACAATTCAGACATTTTGTTCGAAAACTCTGAATTGAAATTGATCCGAAATGCAGAAAAAACATTTTTCGCAACACTGGCGGAAATTGCTTCTATCAAGAGAGAAAGAGAACCAGAAAGTTACCACCCGTTCGTTATTTTGATGGACCATTTCCCTTATTTCACAAAACATGTTCCTTACGGAGTTATGGAACAATCATTCCCATACATTTTGATAAGAAACGCTTATAACATTATGTCGAAAGAACCAGACATAATCAAAGCTGTAGTTAGAGATGATATGGAATACATCAAGAACTTGATTGCAAAGGATCCAAAGGCTGTGGACACAAGGTCTGTTTATGGTTGCACACCTTTGTTACAGGCAGTAAGATACAACAACGCAAAAATTGCAAAAGTGTTGATGGATAACCATGCTGATGTAAATGCAAAAAGTGACAGTGGTAATACACCACTTTTGATTTCCATTGTTCTCAACAATGAAGAACTCGCGAAGACATTGATAGAGAATGGTGCACAGGTAAATGTAAAGAATCCAAAGGGATTCACACCATTCAAACTGGCAACTTCGGAGAAATTAAGGAACTTAATCAAAGAAAAAGGTGGAAAATAATAAAAATTTATTAATATTTTGAACTATTAACTCGGTTTTTTGGTTTTATTTATAAGCATGAAATCATATATGCTTCGCGTCTGTCTCTAAAAATTTGAGTGAATTGAATGGCTTGCACGCGAAGATTACGATTCTGGACCATTTCCCTTTAAATCTCCCTATCGTTTTTCGTCCTCAATATTGAGCGAACCTCTATCACAAACATCATCTTCCATTCTATTTTCTGGGCTAATGTACGTCCTGAGACTTAAACCATGAAAATATGTTTTTTAATATGAATTGTCCAGTTCATATCAATAATCAATTATCAAAATTGGAAATTTTAATTTTAAAAAGATACATTTTATAAATAACTCTATTAAAAAAATATGTAATTAGTGTTTGGCTTTGAAGAAACCTCTTGATTTTGGTTTTTCAAAGTGTTTTGGAGGAGCTTTCTTGTTGTTATTTTTATCATTCTTGTTTCCTTGTTTTTTATCTTTATCATTCTTAGAATTCTTGTTTGCGTTCTTCTTCTCTGGAACACCTCCATAATCCTGGATTGAGTAATTCTTTTCTGCAAATGGTTTCCATTCGTCTTCGTGTTTCTTATTCCATTCGTCGACCAAGTCAAGATATCCTGGTTTCTTCTCGTTGCGTTGCTTGATCTCCAACATTCCTGGAATTCGAACTAATCCGAAACTCTCTGCCAAAGCGATGAAATCGAGTTCTCTGAGTCTGAAGAGAAGGTTGAGCTCGTGTTCTGAATAGGATCTGACATAAGCAACAACGCATTTCATGGATTTGAGGTAGAATTCTTCTGATGATGAGACACTTTTGCGGATTTTTTGCAAAATTTCTTCGCTGTCGTCTGGAACTTCAACTGCCATTTCTAACAAACTGACACTCTGTTGACGCTCGAGGAAATCGATGTATCCATCCTCGTGCTCTCTTAAGAAGACAATAGCACTTCCGCTACGTCCAATACGTGCTGTTCTTCCGATTCTGTGGATGAACATTGATTCTTTTTGAGGAGCATCGTATTGGATGATCCATTCGATGTCTGGAATATCGATGCCTCTTGCAGCAACATCTGTGGAAAGAAGAATGCCTTTCTCAAGCTTCCTGAATGATTCGAGGTTCTCCATACGAATGGATTGGGCCATTTTGCCATGGAATGGGATAATTTGGGGACAACTGTCGCCGAGTGCGATTTTAATGGTATCGGTCATGAAATCAACTTCTTGTCTGTTGAGAACAAAGACAATGCATTTGCTATTGATGACGCGTTGGCGAATAAATTGTATTAATTGGCAGAATTTGTATTTAGGATCAACAATAGCATAAAAATTCGTAAGCTCGGATGGTGCTTGAGATTCACTCGATTTGATGTGAATGTACATTGGATTTCTCATGCCAGTTTTGATAATTTCGGATAAAGCATCGTTCATTGTCGCTGAGAATAAGCCTGTACGTCTCTGTGTTGGAAGCTTTTGGAAAATAGCTGTAAGAGTGCCTCCTAGACCGTTTCGAAGAATTTGATCTGCTTCATCAACAATAAACAGAGATAATTTACGGAATGTATCATCAGGAAGCTCGGTCATTAACTCATGGAGTTTGCCTGGTGTGCCAATTAAGATTGTTGGTTTAACATTGTTAAATGTTTCGATATCTGCTGTAACTTGAGAGCCACCGATAACGTATTGAGGAACCATTGCTGGGAACTCTGCTGAAATTGATTGTGCAACTTCATAAACTTGCTGAGCTAATTCACGAGTTGGAACAAGAACAAGAACAGCCAATCCATCTGTAGATTTCTTGATATATTCCATTGATGGTACAAGATATGCAAGTGTTTTGCCAGAACCAGTGACAGCTTCAACGGCAACATCTTTATGTCCTAATAAATATGGTGTAACACTCTTTTGAACAGGTGTCATTGACGGAAAACCTATCTTTGTTAATACGTTAATAGTTTCTTCTGATAAAACTTCAGAATTCTTATTGAGATCGCTCCAAGCGCCTGAAGTTATCATTTTACTGAAAAGACAAATCAATAAAATTCTTGTCACGTAAATTGTCAGCAAAGATTTTAGATTTGTTTATTCTGTATTTTTGCTTTCTATACACCTGTCCGAGTCTCAAAAATGCATAAAGTCACCGAGCCATAATAAAGATTCTAACTCTTGGTAAAATCTCTCGATTGTATTCATTGAAAAAGAATTTGAGATTTCAAATTCTGCATACAATCTTGAAAATGTATATAAAATTCAATTCTTATGTTAAGCAGCGTTTTCGACCATGAATTTTACAATTTCAACTGAATTTGCTTTGATTGATATGCGATGAGACCATTCACTAATATTAAATGATTCACATAGAACTTAAGCTTTAATCTGTGAAATCGAATTCAAGCATCCAAAGTTGGAGTTCTGGTGGGCAAAAGTGACTCTTATTCTGATTATCATTCTTTTTACATACTGAATACATTATTATGACTGAAACAACTAACAGAATTGTTAAGGCTCTAGAGGGCCTCGAAAATGAAAAAGAAGGAATTCCTCCTTATGACATCGAAGGTATTAGAGAAACGAAAAATATAATGGAAGGATTAGAAACCCAGAAAAAGGCAGAATCGTCAGAAACTACACAACAGTTTTTAGGAAGATGTGCAATTAGACTTCAAGAAGGAATAAACGTTTATACAAAAGCGCGTTTCGCAAAAATTATCGAGTTGAAATCTAAATCAAAAGGACCTTTAAAGCAAGAAATTAAAAGAAACTTCTCTCCATCCGAATCAGAATTCTTATCAGATTATATCAAAACTATTTCTTTGTATAAAAAGGCATATGGATTTGATCCAACATCACCGTTACGACCTCCAAGAGGCCTTACAGCAGAATGCGTAGTTATCAAAGATACTGGCGGAGATCCAATTGCTATTGGAAGCAAGTGGGTCAATCTCAAAGTTAATGAAATACTATCTTTACTCGTACAAGATGCTGAAGAACTAGAAAGTTTAGGATTTGTTAAAATTAATATGTATTTGAAATAAAGAATAAATATAGATTAAAATATATACAGCAACTATTTGTTTCAGGTATAATGTTACTTGGTTAAGTTTTTATATGAATGCTTAATAAATAATATATAAACAACCTTATTCTGAAATGAATTTGCTAGATTTCGTGAGAGGCAGAGAAATATTGATAATATATAATGAAATGGAATATGTATTTTGTTCAAAATAGAATATTCGAAAATTAATTTTGGATTTAAAGAAGAATGAATTAAAATAGTGTATGGTCTAATGAATATATGCATATCATTTTGTTACCTATATTGCGAAAATGCTACATTATGCTTTCCACAAGCTGTGTCATAATTTCAGTAAAGATCGGATAGTTTCAAAATAATTTTATCAAAAAATAAACTATTCAATTTTGGAATGATTCGATTTTTATTAAATTTCATTATTGAATGGTTTTAGATGTTTTCTAAAATTTTATTCGAATTAATAAACGGAAATTGTAAACTAGGGTCGAATGGAAAGTTCAAGTGGATTAATATCTCGGGCTTCATCCAAGCGGCCATTAGGTCGGAAATCATCTATTTGCCTTACAATTACCAATGATGAGGACGAACAAATCCTAGATCTCGATGATAATTGGAATTTCAATTCAATGAAAATTTTCCTTGACAAGGTACTTGTTCAGAATAATTCGCCAAATATATCTATTTCAGAAGCCATCAATAATAATATAACATTCTTCCAAAATATTAAACGCGAACTTTAAAATAAGTATCAAAAGTTTGAAGAGTCATTTTCTAGACCAGTAACTCCTGTTTCATTTGTTCGCCAAATTCCTATAACTCGTCGTGCGCTGTCAAGATCAACCTCCATTAGTATCCAGCCTAATATTCAACCTGCCCCTTCTATAAAGCCCACAAAAAGGATTAAAAAATCGCACGAACCAGTTGATCATCATCCTAAACAATTAACATCTCAGTCGATTTGGAATTCAATTAATAGATTTTTCTCAACACATCCTTCAAGGGAATTAATTCATCAATATCTTGATCCTGTTGATCCAAAGATATCAGCTGTGCCTCTTGGACAGCACTTTTCAATAGCATATAATCAAAAACTTAAGCAAAGATTCAAAACAGATACAATTTATATTAAAACTCCAGAATATGCTGAATATACCACAAAGAAAATTGGTAATTTCAATGTAGTATCAAGCTATCGTCTTCTTTCCGCTCTCGTTCCAATTAATCATTTAGATGAAAATCAAGTTAATTTAATTGATGACAAAGATGATATTGAAGATTCCCCAGGCTTTCAATCCACTAATGATTTCAACTTAGATAATTTTAATCAATATGTTTACCCCACAAATGTTCATGGAACTTCATATTATTCGAAATTATTAGGGTTGTTAGATTCCCGACGATAGGTGTCTTGGAAGATTTGCCTGGTGTCATCATAGTGTCTTTAAATCAAAAATTTTATTTTGGAGTTAGTTTTATTGATTTTTCAATAAAAAACATTTCTAAAACAAGAAAATAAAACGATAAAATATTTATATTTTATATAAGGATCTTATATATTTAAAATAAATATCATTTTATTTTTTTCATTGGTGTCTGTCAAACGAGAAAGGGACAAACTATCCAGTGTCACTTTTCAAAGGAATAAAAAAAAATAATAAAGATGGGGAACAGGACAAATTTGCCACACGGCACTTTTTTTAAAAAATTTAATGGAGCGGAGCGATACTCTGCTGCAGGAGCCCCAAGGCTCCCAATCATTACGAAAGGGAGCCTCAGGGCTCCTGAGAATCCATCAGCAGAGGCCTTTTCATTTGGCCTCTGCTGATCAAAGATTCGGCGAAGCCATTCTTCGTCTCAGGAGCCCCAAGGCTCCCAATCATTACGAAAGGGAGCCTCAGGGCTCCTGAGAATCCATCAGCAGAGGCCTTTTCATTTGGCCTCTGCTGATCAAAGATTCGGCGAAGCCATTCTTCGTCTCAGGAGCCCCAAGGCTCCCAATCATTACGAAAGGGAGCCTCAGGGCTCCTGAGAAACCTCTTTGAGAAGGTTTTCTTTAAGAAAACCTTCTCAAAGATGATTGTCAGCATTCACTCAAAATCTACCAAGAGTTTCAAAGTTTCAAATCTATCTGAAATGAAGCTTTGAATCTCTTGTATATCTAATTGTAGAGGTACCTTTTCAAAATGTCTTCTATTGATTAAATTTAATCAGTAAAAGTCATTTTGAAAAGGTACATCTCTATAATTGCTATTGAGCATTCACTCTTGGAACCTTGGAGCTCTTGTGTAGTGCATGAAAACTCCAAGATTCTAGCATAAAACATATATCATAGACATAATTTCTTCAAATATAATTTAAGGTTATTTTTAAAAAATTAGAAAAGCGTAATTTAAGGTTATTGAAAAAGTGACACCTGGCAAATTTGTCCCGCACTCCACTCTTCAAAGTATTATTGCTATTTATTGGAGAACAAATTTATGTAATTTTCACATGAAAATTGATAAATTTGTATTTCCTTATGATAATCAATTTTTGTATTTGTAGAGAGTCTCCCTGCATGATATCAAGACTTGGCTATTGGTCTTTATCCATTTTTGAAAATTGTATTGTAAATTGTAAGAATTTCTGAATACTACTACTATAAAATATAATTGCTTATCTATGTATATTCTCCCTGCATGATATCAAGACTTGGCTATAAGTCTTTATCCATTTTTGAAAATTGTATTGTAAATTGTAAGAATTTCTGAATACTACTACTATAAAATATAATTGCTTATCTATGTATATTCTCCCTGCATGATATCAAGACTTGGCTATAAGTCTCTATTCATTATGAGTATGACCCCATTTTTTTACAAAAAGTGCCGAATTGCAACTTTGTCCCAATCTCTGTGTTTTTTTTTTTTTGAAATAACTCTCAAATATTATTTTTTGTTTATTTAATGATGAATAAATATGATTGCTTTAGTCAATCATAAAAACTAATTTAAGTTTAAAATAATGAAAGGATAATTTGATCGTTTTTTAAAATACAATTATTTTTGATGATTTGCAAGAATCTTTGAAAAGAATATAATATAGGTTCTATTTTTGTAAAATTTATCCAAATCATGTATTACATAAATTAGGTAAAAAAGGGGTTGGCGTCCTAAGGCGTCCTAGTGTAAATTTCTCAAAATTGTGATATTTACATCACATTTTTGAGAGGTTTATGGGCGTCCTAAGGGAAAATTGAATAGTTAGGGCGTCCCGAATTTTCATTCTAAGATTTAAATATATTATATACTTAAGTATAATACAAGCAATATAAAAATTAAATTTTTATTATGTTAACTTATAAGAAATTTTTTTGAATTATCGTTGATTTATTGTAATCTTTCCAGGCTATACTTTTGAAATCAACTTTACCTGTCATACGCATTAATGTAGCAGATGTCCAGGTGTAGCTATTATATCCCAGCAACATTGGTATTTTATCATTGTAAGATATCAAAATGAAGCGTTTTTTCAGATATAATTTTTCGTAAATTTTTCAAAAATAAGATGGTAAAAAAGCCTCGACTTGCTCGAAAAATAACAATTTTTTACTTGTAAAAATAACCCTTTTACAGCATGGGCAGCTATTCAATCACTATTTCTTTTTCTAAAAGTATATTTTTCAAAAAAAATTAAGATCAAATTCGACAATTTCTTGATGAAAGCAAAAATATTACACATACTTCTAGATGCATGGGATAAAATATGCAATTATTCAATCAATTCGCATGATTTGAAAAAAAAATCTAAATTTGATAAAAATGTAGAAATTTTTTATTTTTAACTTGAGATTCGATTTTTTTGATCCAATTTGTGAATTTTTTTTGATCGGAATTTCAATTAATTTGTTGATCAAAAATGACCTCACAATGTTTGATCATAAGTGAAGTCATCTTCATGGGTATTTAGAAATTCCAAGAGAAATTGCTTATTTCTCGCAGATGTAATATCTGAGAAAATCGAATTTAAATATTCATAGAAACCCAAATCATTCTCCGGTTCGAATAATTCATCTGTTGCTTTTTCTGTTTTTTCTATGAATTTTAATAATTTGATTAATAAATCTTCATCAGGAAGAATTATTGCTGCATTTGTGATAAAATTCCATATTGAGGTAATATGGCAATAATTACATTTATAAAATGTAATTTTATCCAAAATTTTTTGGCAAATTCGCATAATAGCATTAATATTTGAAGCTGAGATTAAACCTGTGATTACTTCTGTAACTTTTGGAAAATCATCGCAATTTAATATCTCTTTATATTGAATTGAGAAATAAAAAAAATCAAATGGATTCATTTCTTCAATTTCAAGGAGATTGTAAAAATTGATAGAAGTGTTATTGCAACAAATTGTATTTGCAGCAAAAAATATCATTTGCTCGATTCCATTTTTGGAATAAATTTGCTGGAACAATGTTAAATTAAAACAGTTGCTTAATTTTTCTTCATTGTTTTCATAAAAAAGTAACAAGTTTGCAACTGAAATTTCAAAATTTTGATAATTGCCAGTTATTTCAGTAAATATATATATTTGCTTTTCTTCATCTAAAAATGGCAAATATTGATTTGCAATATTAACTAAAGTTTGGGATAAATTGTTCCAGTTTGATTTTACAATTTGTGAGCACATTATGTAATATGTAAATTTATCCGCTTTGTAGGAATTTAAAATTGTTTGTTGTTCTGTTTCAGTTAAATTACTGAATTTTTCAAGATTAATATTGTGATAAAAAATAGAATCCTTGAAACATTCTGATATCTTTTCAATGTTTAAAACGGATGCTAAAAAATGTAAAAGAACTTCATCAGTCACTGTGATTTTTTTGAAAAATTTATCCCAATTCAAGCATCCAATTGATCTTTCTGTCATTGTACTTATGCATTGATAAAGTTGATTTAATGAATCCGAAGAATAATCATTATGCTTGACTAGTTGAGTTAGTTGATACAGACT